CCGGAAGAGCATGACGTCGCCGTTGAAGCCGCCCGCCGGCGAGGAGGTCGGGCTCGACGCGGTGAAGGCGAGGGAGACGAGGCAGCAGGGAAGCTGCAGCGTGTGGTCCGCCCTGCTCGGGTCCAGCTGCCGCCGCATCACCGACCACGTGCAGAGCACGGACTCGCTGCTCTCCCAGTCGTTCCGGTCGAGCGGGCCGTAGGCGGCGGCGACCACGCTGCCGGTGGCGTTCCATGAGACGGCGGTGCACGACTCGAGGACGGAGGCGGGCGTGTTCGGCGGTAGGGCGGCGCGGTGCCGCAGCGAGTGCAGGCACGTGGCCACGTCGCGCTCGTCCTCCCAGCTGACGTCATGGTTGTCGAATGCGGTCGTGCCGAGGTTGCGGTGCAGCGCCTCCTCCAGCTCGGGCGTGCTGCGTGCGAGGAATGCGTTGAGCTCGGCCGACTCAACGTAGTAGTCGCGCGCCAGTCGCACCGCCCCACACTCCTCTGCATCCTCTGTCTGCGACGCCCCCTCCCTCACCCTTGGCGCCTGCGTCTTTGCGTGCGCCACCTCGATGGGATCAGTGGCGCAGGCGACGCTGGCCGTCGGTCGCTCCGACCTCCAGTCGGAGGCCAGCGAATGCACCGCGCCCGAGTCCGAGAAATCGGCCGGCAAACGCTGCGCGGCGACCGCCATGTTGGCGGGGGCGTGCGCAACGCGCCGGGACGCGGGAAGTGGATGATGCGTTACATCTGCCGAATCATTTCACCCTTGGGTTTCTTGCCGTCGTTCCTGGGCAGCGAGCTGGGGCGGGGTACCCAAGGGTGAACCGAATCATCTGCATAGTAGGTTAACAGCCACCATCCCGGGCCGACACCCGGTCTGCCGCGCCAGGGTGACGTACGCGTTGAGCACGAACGCCTCGTTCACCTCGACCCACTCGCTGAGCAGGGCGTCCTGCAAGATGTACTGGCCGGTCTGGCCCAAGTGCTGTCGCGTCAAGCTCGGCGCAGTCGCTGCCCTCATGGCCAGCTGCACGGCCTGGCTCGCCGCGTCGCCAGCCGCCGCCGCGGTGGTCGCGTTCGCGCCCACCGCCACCTGCAACACGCTGGCCGCCGCCTGCGCGACGACGGCGAGCTGCTCGACCCCGCCGCTCCCTCTCCCTCCTCCCACGAGGCTCGAGAAATGGTCGCGGATGGGTCGCCAGTACGCCATCGCCTCCTGTCCCGCCGGGAAGCCCTTTTCGCCGAAGAGGATCGGCCACACGTGGCTCCGCATGATGTTGAACTGCACTCCCACCGTCTTCGCCCCCCGCCCGACGAGCTCACACCCCTGCCGCCGCGACGCGTGCGACTGTCGGATGCGGCTCGTCAGCAGATACTGCAGAAACACGAGGGTGAGCTGCTGGCACGGATACCCGTCCCGCATCCCGTTCGCAAAGTTGGAGCGCATGTCCGCATCGCCGCCGTCTTCGTCAAGCCGCTCCATCTCCGTCTGGAAGTCGTCCCACCGCTTCGCCACCTCGTCGCACTGCCTCTTCAAGTGCTCGCCGAGCGGCGCGAGCATCTGAGCCGCCCGGCCCGCCGGCTCCGCAATGGGTTGATGCAGCACCGCCGCCACGAGGGCGCTCCGCCTCCGCTTCGCCAGGCGCGCCGTGGTGTCCGTCGCCGCGAGAGGCGCCAGCAGCGCCGCCTGCTCCGCCGTCCGCTCCTCTGCCGCCGCCAGCTCCGCCTCTCTGGGCGCCTCCGCACGTTCCTGGTGCTGCACGGCGCGCAGCTCGCCCGCCGCGCGCCTCGCCCTCTTGGTGATCGGACGGCCGTGCGCGAACGGGTCGTCCGCGTCGCCCGCCGCCGCCCGCCTCTCGTGCGGCACGGTGTGCAGCGCCTCCGCCGGCCACGCGAGCCGGATTGCCGCGACGCGGCCCTCGCCCAGCCGCTGGAATGCTCCGCCGCCTTCGTTCGCCTTGTCAGCCGCTCGGGCCGCCGCCGTCAGTGCCGCGCCCTTGCCGACGAACAGGAGCGGATTCGGCATCGCAAGCCGAAGCGAAGGCGACGTCGTCGGCCATCAACAACTTTTGCCTGACGCGCAATCGCCTCCCTTAGCTGACACGCTCGGCGTGCCACCTTCCGCCGGCGCTCGCCTTTCGCCTGACGCACAATCGCACCACTACCAACATACATAGGTAGAAAGGTGAAGAACAGCCAGGCTCGGACTGGACACCAACGCGGTATGGGTGGACGCTGGACAGATGATGACGACACGCACGAGCGACACACAGACACAAACAAGCTCACAAGACACACAGCCAGCGGGCTGCCACACACCCTGAGTCGGCTTACACATAACTCAAGGCCATATCCTCCCTGTCGCCCCCCCCAGCACTCCACGGTGCCAAGATCTGCATAGGGGTGTGAGCAGACGGATTTTCTTCTCAAAATACGTGTGCTGTGAGAGAGAGTTGTCTTGTCTAAATTCTCAAAATACCCAGTACACCTACCTATGGACCTATGCCGCTCTTCATGACGATGGAGTGAGCAGTTCTGCGCGGCGCCGTGTCGAGACGACCTCCTGAGGCGACCTGAGCTGTGGCACAATGCTCAATCAATGGTGGCACGGCTTCGGCTATCTAGCAGCCAGGAGCCAGTCGGCATGCCCTCCTTTTTAGCCTGCTCGCGCACCGGCACCGGCGATACGAACTCTGCGCGCCGCGAGAGCGCAGGAGCGGAGAGCGAGAGGCGAATCTGGGCGACTGTGGAGGAGGCGCAGTTTTCTCGGAGCAACAGTCGGGTAATTGTCACACTGCCGTCCGGGAAGGTCTTCTCTCAGCAGGCCGAGCCCCGAGCGCCGTGGCGTCGCGCGCTGCTCACGGGACCACACGGCGGGTGAAAAGATAAATCATGTTGGTAGCAAAAAAGGATCCTCCCATAATACTGACTGGACACGACGTTAGAAGGCGTGGCGATCGTGTCGAGATGAATCTAGATGAGATGTGACGCACACTCACCAAAAATGCGGCGGCGCGTCTCTTCTCGCGGCCTGGTTAGAACTGTGCTCCTCAGCTTGACCCATGCGCATGTCGGGCGCTGCTCTATGCG